TCGTGGGCATTTCTTCCCCAGGGCCAGATCCCTCCTTTGTAGTGATTAAGAGCGGTGGACTCATAATCTGGTGAACCAGGTTCGCTTCCCCGCTCCTCCACATGCAGCTGCTGGGTGACCTTGGGCTAGTCACACTTCTCTGAAGTCTCTCAGCCCCGCTCACCTCACAGAGTGTTTGTTGTGGGGGAGGAAGGGAAAGGAGAATGTTAGCCGCTTTGAGACTCCTTCGGGTAGTGATAAAGCAAGATAGCAAATCCAAACTCTTCAAACTCTTCTTTCTTGAGAGTGGTCCACAGCCCCCAGGGTAAGGTCAGCCCGCCTTGAGTTATATAACTTTGCTGAAGAGTGCAGTCCATGTCGTCCCCTTGCCAACAGAACCGCAGTGCTGGGTTGTTCTAATAGCACAATTACTCATTTGAGCAAACCGTACATCTTGGCACCAAAATCCCATCTCCCCGGGTGTATCTATCGATTAGCCAACGCAAGTCTGAGCTCGTTCCCACTTATCAACTTGGTGAAGCTGTCACACGGAGGAGACGTGGAGCTAATTGAAACCCTCCTTGAGAAGAGCGGACTAACTCAACCCTTCACTGAATCTCCTGAGATCCCTTTCGTGAGCTGACTGTGTGCGGATATATGTGTATTTCTAGTTCCAAACTTTGCATCTTAACCCTGGAAACAAAACAGAAGCCCTGGTTGCGCTCATCTATAATATTGGGCCGGCCAAAAGGCGTGAATGAAGGAGTGCCCCCCCAGTCTTACTCTACAATAGGACTTACTTCTGAGTGGATGTAGTTAGGACTACACTGTTAGTTGTCTTTTTCATTTGCTAGAAATAATAGTCTCATCTGTTCTGGTATCAGAGATACACTTCCTATGGCTAGCAGTCAGAGAGAAGGTGTGATGGCCTGGGAATCCGATTCAGAGGCTGAACCGGAGGAATCCCAGCCTGCACAGGAGTCCCCGCCTCCAGGGCCGGCTGAACTGGGGCAGGGCCTTGATTCTGAAGCGCCTGCACCTGTGCCGGATCCTCAGGAGCAGGCACCAGGTGAATCCACTCTGGCTCCGGAGGTGGTTGAGGACTCAGTGCCTACAGGTGTGTCTCCCCTGGGTCCAGTAACCCTTCAGCCTCTCTTGAACTGCAGAGGCTCAGGGCAGAGAGGCGAAGGGAACTGGTTTCTCCCAGGAGGAGTGCTCGCCTTAAGGCCAGGAGAGGCGGGTCTCCTGGGGGCCGGGACCGCCCCTGGCCTCAGAGAAGATAAAGGCCAGTCAGCCCGGTCCCAGGTTGCGGGAGCAACGTCGTTGATGAGCTGTCTCGGCCAGCATCCAGTCCTGTTCCCCCAGAGTTCCTGTCCTTGCCCGGCTTCTCGCTGTGGACCCTGCTTTGCCCGAGGAGGACTGTCTGGCGACCCTCTACTCAGGTCCTGGACCTCGCCCCACGGTAACCTCCCCCCTGGACCAGCACAGAAGCACATAGAAGGGCTGTCACCCAAACAGCATGATGAAAGGCATTTCCCCCCCATCATAGTGCTACATAAGAACATAAGATGTAGTATATATACCTGAAGGAGCGTCTCCACCCCCATTGTGAGGTCCAGCTTCAAGGGCCTTCTGGGGGTTCCCTCACTGCAAGAAGTGAAGTTATAGGGATTCAGGCAGAGGGCCTACTCGGTGGTGGTGCCCGCCCTGTGGAACACCCTCAAGGAAATAAACAATTATCTGACTTTTAGAAGACATCTGAAGACAGTCCTGTTTAGGTAAGTTTTTAATGTTTGATGTTTTAGTGTGTTTTAAATATTCTGTTGGGAGCCGCCCAGAGTGGCTGGGGAAAGTCAGCCAGATGGGCGGGTATAAGTTGTTGTGTTGTTGTTGTTGTTGTTGTTGTTGTTCTTTTCAGGCCAATCGTCCATCTAGACCAACATCCTGTTCTCACTGTGGCCAAATTGGTGCCCATCACTCCTGTGGGAGTGAGTTCCACAGGTTAACTAATTGCTGAGTGAAGAGGTACCGTGTTTTTCGCTCTATAAGATGCACCAGACCACAAGACGCACCTAGTTTTTGGAGGAGGAAAAGAAGAAAAAAAATATTCTGAATCTCAGAAGCCAGAACAGCAAGAGGGATCGCTGCACAGTGAAAGCAGCAATCCCTCTTGTTGTTCTGGCTTCTGTGATAGCTGCACAGCCTGCATTCGCTCCATAAGACGGACACACATTTCCCCTTACTTTTTAGGAGGGGAAAAGTGAGTCTTATAGAGCAAAAAATACGGTACTTTCTTTTATCTATCCAAAATCTTCCAACATTCAGCTTCATTGGATGTCTACAAGTTCCAGTGTTATGAAACAGGGAGCAATTTATTGAGGATTCATTCTGATTTGTTGGAAGGGAGTTAGATGGCATCACAATGAGAAAATATTATCCCACCATTTCCAGTGCACTTTCCCATCATTTTTGCAAAAAGTTCAATTGTGTTTGTGTGTATGGTGGTGGGAAAACCTTTAATTGTGCAATCTGAATTTGTTGGTGTGTGGCTGACTCCCACCCCAAAATAATGACAGTCTGGAAGTGCCCTTCAGGAACAGAGGAGAAATTTGATTCGGTTCTAAAGGCAAATCTACCTTTTCTAAAACGTTATGCAAACACTGGGGTGAAGAGTCCGCAAAATCAAACGTGATAGTGAAAATAGCACACAAAGATGTGTTATGACAAGGTGAACTGCTTTGCAAAAACGTGTAGATTACACAAAAATGCATACAAACCTGTCTACTGGGAGAAATTCACACTGCGGGGCCGATGAATTTTCATGAGGAGTTGTTTCTTAATGCAAACTATGTGGAAATGAGAACCTGAGAGGAACAAAGAATGACAGGTTTGCCCATCCACGGTGCCTTGAGACAGTCCTGACAGTGCACCCTCAAGGTGACGGGAATACAGTACCCGTTTGTCTGTTGGTTGCTGAAGTGTCTATTCTTTCCCCCTGACAGTTATTGTGAAACAGGCAAATGGGAACGAGAGACAAGCAAGGCCTTCTCCCTCCTTATCGGCGACCCTGGTCAGTGTCTTGCTGTCAAGGACTCTCGTAATTTATGTCAGAGCTGGCTGAGTGTTTACTTATCTGCTCCAGTAACTGGCTCGGCCGAAATCAGCCAGACTGGCTCCTTTGTGGCCCACCAGCTTTTTCCTGCTGCTGAGTGGGAGTGCTGGGGATAAGACATTGCTGGGTGCTGTTTCCACTCTGCAGCGGCTGCGTCGCAATCTGGGGAAAACAACACGGAAGGTGTAAGAAGTCAAGTCGCATATACAACCGCCCAATCTCTCGCGGCCAATTTGGGCCTGACATGAGAAAAGCCGACAGCCGCCCCTATCAGGTGGCCATCGCAGTTCTAGAACGGAAGCAAGGGAATTAAAAAGGCCAGTGGTTTCCACAAAGAATTTGGACTCGTGCCTGCAATCCTCCCCCAGAGCAAACCGGGTGAGAAAATATTATGGCTAACATCTGCAACAGCCTTTCCCAACCTGGTGCCCTTGAGATGGTTAGGAATCGAACCAATGGCTTCAAGTTACAAAAAAGGAGATTCCGACTAAACATCAGGAAGAACTTTCTGACAGTAAGAGCTGTTTGACAGTCGAACGGTCTCCCTCGGGAGTTTATGGACTCTCCTTCCTTGGGGGTTTTTAAGCAGAAGTTGGAGGGACATCTGTCTTACATGTTTGAGTTGAGATTCCTGCATTGCAGGGGGTTGGAATAGATGGCCTTTGGGGGTTTCTTCCAACTCTACAATTCTGTGATTCTATGACTACAACAATAGACTAAGCTGTCTATGTATGTAACAACAACAGCTAGTATTCTCTATGCACAAAAATGGAAGGAAGAAGTTCCCACCAAAGAAGAATGTATAAGTAAATTGATGGCCTATGTGGAACTGAAAAAGTTAACAGTCAATTTTATTATATACAGTCATACCTCAGGATAAATACGCTTTAGGTTAAGCATTTTTGGGTCGTACTCCGTGGTGACCCTGAAGTAACGGAACCATTACTTCCGGGTTTCGCCGCTCGCGCATGCACAGATGCTCAAAATGACATCACACGCATGTGCGGAAGCGGCGAAACACGACCTGCAGATGCACAGACACACAATCGTGTGTTGCATTCACTTCAGGATGCAAACAGGGCTCTGGAATGGATCCCGTTCGCATCCAGAGGTACCACTGTATATTGAATTTACAGTGGTACCTTGGGTTAAGAACTTAATTCGTTCTGCAGGTCTGTTCTTAACCTGAAGCACCACTTTAGCTAATGGGGCCTACCGCTGCTGCCGCGCCGCCAGAGCACGATTTCTGTTCTCATCCTGAAGCAAAGTTCTTAAGCCGAGGTACTATTTCTGGGTTAGCGGAGTCTGTAACCTGAAGCGTCTGTAACCTGAAGCGTCTGTAACCCGAGGTACCACTGTATATTGAATTTATATACCGCCCTATATCCAGAGGTCTCAGTCAAAATAAGAGAACCTACTGATGTTTCTTTTGTGGAAGAAGGGAAGCCTTTTTAGGATTACTTAAAGAAATACTATAGTATGATGAACTCGCCAGCAGGATTTGAACTATCAGCAACAGAAGGACTTAGAGATTGTTGCATTGTTGTTATGGTGTAAGGGACAGAAGAATAGGGTGCAGTAAAGGGGGAGAAATATAAAAAAAAACACCATGGAAAACAGGGTGGGAGTCTATAAAACAAAAGAAAATTTTTTGATGTGTTGGAGGGTAAAAAAAAACAAAAAACAAGAGGGAAAGAGTTAACCCCCCTCCCACCCAACTCACAGTCCCAACCCAATCCCAATGCACACCCACACCCCAGCTGTTGTTTTCTTTTAAGGACAGTGGTAGCTGTTTTAAACCACCTTTACTTAAGAATGCTTCTTTTCACATGGCATGCAGTTTGGCTCTTAGTCCTGGAAGTGGGTGATATAAACTCCAACCCCAGTTTCCCTATTTGTAAAGGAGAAATGATAATGACTTGCGCAGCGGGGAGCTTTGGGGCACTGTTACCCTAGCGGAGGCGGGGGACCCTTCACCTGGATGGTGCTGAACATCCAAACTGAACATTCTCTTAGATTACATCCAGTCTTTGTGCAAAGTGGAAATGGCATCACTCTGAAGATGGCAGGCCTATCTCTGGTCTTGGGAGCCTTGCAATTGCCCAACTTTGCCATTTTCTGTCGCTGGCCTTGGATTAATCCTCACCTTCTTATCCTGTTTAGGGGCTCCTAGAAGAACCTGCTTGGCCAATGTTGTGGAACATCATAATAATAATAATAATAATAATAAATAAATTTTATTTATATCCCGCCCTCCCCAGCCGAAGCCGGGCTCAGGGCGGCTAACAACAATAAAACAGTACAAAAGTACAGCATAAACAACAGTCTAAAATCATTCGTTATAAAATTAATTAATTCAAGCCACTGGCAACCATTGGGCCAGAGCTCCACGAAGATTGCTGAGGGAGGGAGTCAGGCTGTGCCCTGGCCAAAGGCCTGGTGGAATAGCTCTGTCTTGCAGGCCCTGCGGAAAGATGTCAAGTCCCACAGGGCCCTGGTCTCTTGTGACAGAGTGTTCCACCAGATCCGAGCCACAGCCGAAAAAGCCCTGGCTCCAGTTGAGGCCAGCCTAACTTCTCTGTGGCCTGGGACCTTCAAGATGTTTTTATTCAAAGACCGTAAGTTTCTCTGTGGGGCATACCAGGAGAGGCGGTCCCGTAGGTACGAGGGTCCTAGGCCGTATAGGGCTTTAAAGGTTAAAACCAGCACCTTAAACCTGATCCTGTACTCCACCGGGAGCCAGTGCAGCTGGTATAGTACCGGATGAATGTGGTCACACAGCGAAGACCCCATAAGGAGTCTCGCCGCGGCATTCTGCACCCGCTGGAGTTTCTGGGTCAGTCTCAAGGGCAGCCCCACGTAGAGCGAGTTACAATAATCCAGTCTGGAGGTGACCGTCGCGTGGATCACAGTGGCTAGGTCAGGGCGAGAGAGATAAGGATCATCATCATCATTATTATTATTACTACAGTGGACGCCCGGGTTGCGAACATGATCCGTGCGGGATGCCCGTTCGCATCCCGCAGTGTTCGCAACCCACAGCAGCATGTCTGTGCATGTGCAGGTTGCGATTCAGCGCTTCTGCACATGCGCAACCCCCGAAACCCGGAAGTAACCCACTCCGGTACTTCCGGGTTTCAGCGGGTCCGTAACCCAAAAAAACGCAACCTGAAGCATCTGTAACCCAAGGTGTGACTGTACTACTACTAAAATATGTATACAGTGGTACCTCAGGTTAAGAACTTAATTCGTTCTGGAGGTCCGTTCATAACCTGAAACTGTTCTTAACCTGAAGCACCACTTTAGCTAATGGGGCCTCCCTCTGTCACTGCGCCACCGCCACACGATTTCTGTTCTCATCCTGAAGCAAAGTTCTTAACCCGAGGTAATATTTATGGGTTAGCGGAGTCTGTAACCTGAAGCGTAATGTAACCCGAGGTACCACTGTACCGCCTTATACCTGAGATGTGAACAGAAGCACCTGAGATGGATTTAAACACACACTTTTTTTGCTATTGTGGATAGGCAACAAAAACACATTTATTGCAGTGGTGGCCAATATGGCACTATCAAGGTGTTGTTGGGTTACAACTCATATCAACCCATCAGCATGGCCAATGGTGAGGGAGACTTTCTTCTTCTCTCCTCATTCATTCTCTTTTCACATTGTGTCTGGTAGATGGTGAGCCAGGACTACCTTACCTTTTAATATACGTGCAGTGCTTTATAAGATGATAATAATAATAATTTCTGGAGTTGGGATCCAACAATACCTGGAGGTCACTATTATGAAATCCTCTCCCTGGCGAAGGATGTCTGTCTTAAGCCACAGGGTTACACGTTGCCAGAAGGGTGGGATCTGCCCAACTTTTCCTTTCCAGCCTTGTGAGCCAGGGCTGTGTAACTATTAAGTCATAGATCGCTGATCAGAGTTTCTTCCTTTAGATTCATTTCCAAGGCTTTCCTTCCAGGAGCCTCAACAAAGAAACCATTTGTATGTTATCCAAGCTCTTGGCTCTCTTGGCTGGAACTTGCCTGCACTGTTTCAAAGCAAGACTGTCTGCTATCCTTTCTCATAACCAACACAGGCATTTCTATAAAGAGACAGGCAAGTGTGTGCATGATAACTAATATGGTGGCTCCTTTGGACAACTCCATCTTGATATGTGCCGCATGGAAAAATAAATACAGATCACTGGCTTCTCCCTTTTTCCCAGCTTGGACCACTTGTTATCATTACCGAGCAAGGAAACTTTTCACTATTTGGAACATTTGAAGACAATAGATTAAAGGCTCCCGGCTATCTCTTGCTAAATGAGCTGTTATTTTCAATTTGTTTCCTCTTTCATCCAGGCTACGCCTCTCGCAAAAATCCCCTCAACTGGCGACATTTTTCCCCTGACAAATATTTCCGTGAAGTGTCACCCCACCCAGAAGCAAAGGATCAAAGGATCCTGTACCCTCCCTCCGCTGCAAAGTGTCCCACACTCTGTAAGAGCACCATCTAGACTAGGTTAGGGCAGGGAACAGGTACACACATATGTCTCTGCCATACCATTGGTCCATGCAAGGCCTGTGGGTATGAATGAATCACTGCCTCTAAAGGGCATGTCTAGATGGGGCTGGAGAGGCACTGTGGAGTTAAGCCCAGCTCTGGAGGGACTGGTTCCCTGGTAGCCACTGGGAGAACGGCAGACAGTACAAACCAGAATGTCCTCTCCATGGTTTATCACAGGAGAACCTGGTGGCCTACTGGATGATGCTATGCTTCATTCCCTCGTCTCTGATGATTGGCCAGGCTTGTTGGGGATGATGGGAGTCAAGGTCTAACAACAACTGGGGAATCAGGCCAAAGATTTTCACATTGTAGATGTGAGGCTAAGAAAGAGTAGCTTGCCTGTGGCAGAAGCAACATTTGAACCAAGGACTACCATACTAAAACCAATCTCCTATGTCCATAAAAAAATGTATAATCTGAGAGTAGGCATTGTCACATTTCTGAAATTTAAGGTCACCAGCCAGACTAAGAGAACATACTTTGAGCCTTCAGGCATGGAGAGTTGGGGGTTCATGCAGATTCGCAGGAGTTAGGTGGGGAGCCTAACTCAGTGCTACTGTACATGCCTTGACTAAGGAAGGTTCGGGGCATTATTATTCTTATTCTTATTCTTATTCTTATTCTTATTATTATTAATTCAATTTATACACCACCCTATACCCGGAGGTCTCAGGGCGGTTCACAAACAAGACCACAGCATATAAAATCAAACCAAAAACAATAACCCAATTAAAAAAACCCCCAAAAGAACCATATTCTAAAAGGGTGTTGGATGTCAATAAAATCAACCAAAGGCCTGGTTATAAAGGAACGTTTTTGCCTGGCGCCTAAAGCTGTATAATGAAGGCGCCAGGTGAACTGGGGAGAGCATTCCACAGGCAGGGAGCCACTGCAAAGAAGGCCCCGTTTTCATGTTGCCCCCTTCCAGACCTCTTGAGGAGGCAGCACACAAAGAAGGGCCTCAGAAGATGATCTCAGGGTCTGGGTGGGTTCATATGGGAAGAGGCGGCCCTTGAGGTATTGCGGTCCTGAGCCTTTTAAGGCTTTAAAGGTCAAACAATCCCTGGCATCTCCAGTTTAGAAAACTCAGGAAGCAGGTCATGTGAAAGAGCTCTGTTTGGCAGAATGCCTGGAGATCTTCTGCCAGACCTGTGTGGTTGATACAGGGCTTAACAGACCAACAGTCTAACCTGAAATGGGTCAACTCCTTGTTCCAGCTAGTTTAGCATTGTGTTCACTGACTAGCAGTAGTCCTCCAGGGTTTCAGGCTAAAGGGCACACTCCCTTTTGCACCTGAAGATAAAGGTAAAGGTAAAGGTAAAGGGACCCCTGACCATTAGATCCAGTCATGACCAACTCTGGGGTTGTGACGCTCATCTCGCTTTATTGGCCAAGGGAGCCGGCGTACAGCTTCCGGGTCATGTGGCCAACATGACTAAGCCACTTCTGGCGAACCAGAGCAGCTCACAGAAATGCCGTTTACCTTCCTGCCAGAGCAGTACCTATTAATCTACTTGCACTTTGATGTGCTTTCGAACTGCTAGGTTGGCAGGAGCAGGGACCGAGCAACGGGAGCTCACCCCGTTGCAGGGATTTGAACCACCGACCTTCTGATCGGCAAGTCCTGGGCTCTGTGGTTTAACCCACAGCGCCACCCGTGTCCTGAAGATACCAGGGTCTAAATCTGAGTAGACCAGCAAGAGAGACTCAAGATCTACCACTGAACCGTAGCTCAACTGAGTTCTGACAATATGAAGAGTTAACACCTCACAAAGCTCACTCAGTTGGCTTCATTTGCCAAGGCCTTAGCCTGGCTAGACAATTGCACCCACTCCCCAAATAAACAGACATAGCACAGTTTCTTTAAGGAGATACTTATGATGCCTTTGATGTGATATATATATATATACACACATACACACACATGCGCTTAGCTTCTGCTTATTCTCCAACATCCAATTGTTTATTCATTTTTAAATAGCTGAAATTCATGTCAAACATTCCACATGTTAGGAAAATATTTATGAAGTGTTATCGCAGTTTATTTAATGCCAAATGTTTGGGGAAAGTCAATATAAAATGATGGACCACACAGAGTTGCATGCTGAGTCATCTAAAAATTGCAAAGACACGGGATGATGCGTTGATACCAAACAACACTACCAAAGGCCTGTCATAATACAGGGCGTTCTTTATATTAAAATGATTGCTTCCTTTGGCTCCTTCCCCCATTCTCAAGGTCCAGGAAGTTCAGGGCACTCCTTGACAGATTTGTTTTCTTGAAAAAGGGCACTTCCAGGAGGATACTATTTTGGAGTGGGGTTTGATCGCATCCTAGCAAATGCAGCGTGCACAATTAAAGTTGATTTGGTGCTCTTTTTGCAAGAAGGAAAGTGACGGGAAGTTGTCCTGGAAAGTGTGGGGTAACATTTAATTTGATGCAACATTGGATTATCTCCTTGTAAACAAATCAGGGCAGATGCTTAATAAATAGCTGGCATTATCTATACACCCCACAAACGTTGTGCAAATGAATTGGGGTGAATGCTTAATAAATAGGCTTCCTGGAAGCAACCAAAGAATTAGGGTGATACTTACAATAAATAAGATTAGAATTGTGAAGTGATCTCAACAACAGGACATTATCAGCGGAACAATGATGATAGTGGCAGGCAGGCAGGCAGATAGCTAGGATACTGTATTCAGATCTGTTTCCAAGGTTTTGTCGACTGAAGCTACCAAGCTGCATACAGCTCACTCTATAGCAATTGACCACAGGTTTGTTTAAATATTCCATTATTTCACCATCTTCGGTGGCAGGGGATGGTGGGTGCTGCAAGCCTGGTGGTCTGCCTTCAGCCTGGTGGGCCCCACATCCTGCAACGTTCATGAGTTGCAATCTGAAGCAGAGATGAAAAGGAACAAAGCCTGCCTCTCACCCTGGACACCAGTCCATAGTGGTAGGGTATAGATTATACCCATGCACACCCAAGATACAGCCCTGTGCTGTAGCCCTTTTCAGCTGTGAAAGTCCCTGTGCATTAGGAATCTCGTGAGAGAGAACAAGCAGGGATGTGCTAGCTACCCACCTGCTCCTTCCATCACAGCACGGAGCCCTCCTCAAATTGGAGGAGACATCCTGCAGTAAGAAGACCTTGCCCTACAATGAGGGCCGGCCCTATCATTAGACAGAGTGGCACAATTGTCTCAGGTGGCAGATACTGGATGGCAGCGCCTCCTAGCCACTCCTTTTCTTTCTTTCTTTCTTTCTTTCTTTCTTTCTTTCTTTCTTTCTTTCTTTCTTTCTTTCTTTCATTAAAAAGCATTTATAAACCACTTGATATTTTAAAAACATCTAAGTTGTATAGAATATTTTAGATAGGGTTTTAAAGCCTGGGATTTTGTGGGGGAGGAAGGACTTTCTAAATGTTTAACGCAGCCACCAAAAGAACACGTGCGGCCATTTTCAGCTACTTATTCTCAGCGTCCAGATCAGGCAACCCCAAACTCAGTCCTCCAGATGTTTTGGGACTACAATTCCCATCATCCCTGACCACTGGTCCTGTTGGCTGATGGGAGTTGTAGTCCCAAAACATCTGGAGGACCGAGTTTGGGGGTGCCTGGTCCAGATCAACTCCTAATTTCCCTCAAATACACATGAAGAAGGACAGATGAAGAGAACAGGCATGAAGTATTTCAGGTCCACAGTGCGGGAGTGAGCTACTGCCATTTGTTAGAAGCAGTGGGTGTGAACACACCCCTTTACCCAAGTGATTTGGTATGCCTTGAGGGAGCAAAAGGAGAGGACAGCAAAATCTATTAATATCATCACCCATAAAAACTCATCTGAAGCGTTCCTCAAAGGCAACTGTGGCTTACAGCATGAATATTAATGCCTCATTAATATTTACTATATGCAAACATAGTTTACTCCACATTAATATTTATAGCGGCCACGTCATGTCATATTAGTCTTTCTCCCCCAAAGGTAAACTAAAGGCTAATTCACATCAACATGCCGGATTTTTAATACGCAAATGATGCTTTGCAGCCTAGTCATTGGCACTGGCTGTTGCGGGCCTCTCTGTCCTCACCTTAGGAAACTGAAAACGCACGCCAGAGAGGACCTTTGCTGAATCTGCCAATATATACCGTATTTTTCACTCTATAAGACGCACCAGACCACAAGACGCACCTAGTTTTTGGAGGAGGAAAAGAAGAAGAAAAATATTCTGAATCTCAGAAGCCAGAACAGCAAGAGGGATCGCTGCGCAGTGAAAGCAGCAATCCCTCTTGCTGTTCTGGCTTCTGGGATAGCTGCGCAGCCTGCATTCACTCCATAAGACGCACACACATTTTCCCTTACTTT